CTGCTGAAGACAGTCCTCATGTGATTCCCTCCGCCAAAGGACACCGACTCCTGTTGTTCAGAACATTTCCAGCCCCATGTGACTCCATGTTTGCTCTTGTTCTACACAGAGAGGGAGAGAAGCCGAAGAACCCAATGGTTGACCTGTTTTATGGCCGTTTTCTGGCTGTGGGTGTCCTGGAAGGTGAGTATTCATCAGCTGTATGAGCCCTCTCTCCTAGTTAATGAAAAGTGACCTTGCATTAATGTAATGTGGAGAACCCAAGTTCTAAAACAATGTAATGGTCATTGATGTGTGAGTGGCATTGGGCTTATTAAACATGACAGCACTGATCATAGCTGGTTACATACAAACTGTTTAGTTGATGAACTTTTTACCTTGTTAAGATCTTAAGACTTCTTGCATGTGCACTTGTTTTGATGGCTTTTGAGTACCAAATTTATCAAAATATTTTTTGTAAATCTAGTAAAACCTCACAAAATGTACTATTTCTTATTTTAAAATGCAAAAGTTTACAGTTACAATGAGGTTTTGTTTATAATTAGATTTAGTCAGTTAATAAGTACATTGCCATTCATACAGTAAGTGTAGGGTCAGTAAGATAAAAAAAAAAAAAAATTGTAGTTCGCAAAGACGCATTAAATTGATCACGCAAAGACATTTGTAATATTACAAAAGTTTTCTATTTTAAATAAATGCTGTTCTTTTAAACTTTCTATTAATCAAAGAATCCTGAAAAAAAAGAAAGAAACTGTTTTCAGCACTGAAAATAATAAGAAATGTTTCTTGAGCACCAAATCTGCATATCAGTATGATTTCTGAAGGATCATGTGACACTGAAAACTGGAGTAATGGCGGCTGAAAATTTAGCTTTGAATAATATACCCGAATAATAACAAATGTAGTGTAATCATGGCCGGACTTACCATTGGGCTTGAGTGGGCTGCAGCCCCATGTGCCCCGCCTTTGCCCGTTTACGTTTGTTTGATTTGTTTGTAATGTGCCAGTCAGAATTCAGAAATTATTAGCCGCATTTCCACTGCGCATGCAAGATCTAAACGGGCCAGCCGGGGCTACAACTTACAACTATGACCTTCGAGGCCAATCAAATGGCATAAACTGGTATTTATGATTATTTCACATAGAAGAAGGACATACGTATTGAATTGCGTCTGCACCGATGGGTTTGTTATCACATGGCTAATTTAAACAGCTCCATTAAGCCTTTAGCCCCAAAGAGTGCATGTTTAGAAAGATAATGATAAATTCTCAAATGTTCACACCTCATTTCTTTACAGAAGATGATTATATATCACTATATTAATGTTCCACTAAATTATGTGATCATCTTATTAGTTTTGTGCGCTCTCTCTCGTCTTACTGCCATTACACATAGTGGGGAAGAAATGTCATCAAAATGATTTTAAATAAAAAATAGCAATTTAATGAGTTTCTGTTTTTATAACATAGCTATGCCTATGATATAGGACTTAGCCTATCACACAAACAGGAGTCTTGTTTTTTTTCCCAAATATCTGCACGATCGCAAATGTACAATAAACAACAACTTACAGTGTAACTTTCAGACACAAAATTCCGTTTTGCGCCATCAGAAAGAAAATAGAACAATCAGCAGAACCGCTGCGTCTCTGAACAACAGTGTTTTGTTCACCAGCGTTACACGGACAAGCAAATGATTCAATCAGGCTATAAGTACAGTCGTTTACAAAGTTAAATGAATCCGCTTTTTAAACGAATCGGTTGATTCAACTTGCTCATTAAGATAGTCACTTGCTGCCACCTACTGGCGGTTGTAGTTTCATATTTAAAAAAGTAACTTATTTCGTGTTTGCAATCATTTAATATTTCTACATTCAAATGTTATATTTAAACTTAACATTTATGCACAGTCCATCTATGAATTTTGTTGATAGTGATTTCATTTGATTGTTAATAGCCAGCATGTCCTTTTTTTATTGAATTTATTAAATAAGAACCTGATATAAGAAGACACAGATATGACAATTACTTTTATAATACTAATAAGCCAACATCTCTGGCTTTTTGTTTTTTTTTGCTCAAAGTTATTTGAGGGTTTTGATCTCTCAACTGAGAGAACACATCCTGTTTATTATATTATAATTAATATTTAATATTACATTTAAACTTTGACTATAGCCTAGACATGTTGCATATTAATTGTACTATTTATGAACCTCAAAGCATATGTTTGTGTATTTTGTGTTATTCCATAATGATGTTATATTTGAGGGCATCTGTAGTGTACGTAGGTATAGGGCCCAAACATAAAATCAAGCCCAGGGGCTCCCGCCCCCCTAAGTCCTGCCCTGAGTGTAATTCAAGTAAAGTGTGCATAATGGGACCGTGTGGTTATTACATTTCCTAAACATTTGATGTTTGCATAAACTGTAGCACTTGTTTCTGGCCAAAACTGAGCCTATAGGATCTGCATGTCTGTTTGGGTATTTTGCACGAAACATTTTCACAGTGCCATATCCATATGATGTCCGCTAAATAAAGAGATTACACTCATAAGATTATCATTATGTGTAAAGCATATTGTGGAGCATAATTAAAGACAATGATGTGAGCTTGTGTGTGTTTTTACAGGAAAGAAATTTGAGAACACTGAGATGTTTGGACAGTACCCTCTGCAGGTGAACGGCTTCAAAGATCTGCACGAGTGTTTAGAGGCAGCCATGATAGAGGGAGAAATCGAGTCTTTGCATTCTACCGAGAACTCTGCCAAATCAGGGCAAGAGGTTTGTAGAGAGGTTGTCTCTCTTTTTTCTTTTTCTTTTTTTTTTCTATCCCAGTGCACCACAATAATGCTCAAACATTTTAAACTGTTCCCTTTTCTAAGATATTCCTTCTGTTTGCCATCCAATCACAATCTTTGAGGTGCAAGAAAAAAAAAATGACCTCTGACCGAGATGTTACATAATGGCTTTTCAGTCATCAGTGCCTGGGCAGATCCCTTTGCAGCTGCTTCCTGCTAATTACTTCAGCTGAGTGCAAGTAAAGAAGGAGATTCTTTGGTGTACATTATTCTCAGCACCAACAGGCTGGGATGTTAATGAAAGCCCAGGACACCGTGTCTCTCTCAGTGCTCAGAATATGATCAGGTCACCAGTGTTCATTCCAGTGTCCATTCCAGCATGGGAGGTGGAGTTGGCATGGCTCACATGGATGGGCTTTTCATGGAGCATGCTGGAGTTCAAATACTGCTAAACACCGATTTCTGGAAAATAAAATGTTATGAAATGTTTTTTTTGTTTTTTTTTTGTTTAAGGCAATAAATTCTAGATTTGGAGAAAACTGTGAAAATTTGTATCAAATCAATCAAATTCATTTAAAGACTTTGAAGGCATTTTCTCCCTTTCATTGTTGACATGTATGAGCAAATAAGACATTTGGCTTTAGTGTTATATGCTAATTGTTTAGTGTTTTTTTTTTTTTTTTTTTCAGCACTGGTTCACAGAACTCCCACCGGTTTTGACCTTTGAACTGTCTAGGTTCGAGTTTAATCAAACCTTAGGCCGACCTGAGAAGATTCACAACAAGCTAGAGTTTCCCTCCATGCTGTACATGGACAGGTTAGTGCTATCTGGTTTTTTTTTATATTATTTATTAATTTTCATACTCTTAAGATTTTTTTTATATGTATGTAAATGTTTTTAAAATTACTTTTGTCTCTGTGTTTTTGAATGTTTTGTAAAATGTGGGAAAATCTCATTGTCTCGCATCATTCCCCAGTCCTAATCCAACCAACATCAATGGTGTCATTGTGATATTTGCTTAATTGTTTTTTATCTTGCTTTTATTTGCTTACTGAGTTGTGGTTGGCTTTTTCATTCTTGTATTTATTCTGTTTTGTTTTGGCTGTTTTTGAGATCACTGGTACTTTTCTAAAATATTTTTCGCAACATTTAACTGTTTTTTTGTTTTGTTTTGTTTTGATTTTGTCTTTGAAATTTCTGGCAGTTTTCTAACCTGGTCTGAGTCACTTTGAGAGTCCAGAATTAAGATCCATGTCCAAATTGAACAGAGTAAAAAGTCTTTGC